GAGCCCCCGGGCACAGGCGGCTGGGGGCCGCGGCGCCGCTGGCTCACAGCTGTCCGGGCTCAGTGCCGGCTGAGGGAGCGGCATCAGTAGCCCCGTCCTGCGGCTGTTGAGACCCTCGCTACCGCCTTGGTGATGGTCCCGTTCACCTCTCCTCCGCCCTCATAAGGAGAAGGCGCCATGGGCCCTCTCCTCAGTGTGGTGTGGGCAGCCTGCTCGTCCTCAGTGCCCGTCGCTGCCGGCACAGCAGTGCTGAAGAGGGGGGTGTAGGAAGCCCAGAGAGTATTTTGGGGCAAGTGCGGGTGAGGTTTGTTAGGCAGGAACCTGAGGTCAGGAGGGTGGTGTTGGCCATCGCACCGTGTCACAGGCCGGAGTGCAGCTGAGTGGCAGTAGCTGGCTGTGGGGCGCTCGCCCCGCTGCTGGGACTGCTCAGACTTCAGTTTGGGAAGCTTAGGTGATGGCAGTTCGGTGCACAGTGACTTAGTCCACAGCTTAGTCCTTCCTAGCTGTGTTTGGTGTCCTTTCCTTCTAGCCCAGGGAGATACGGTCCATCTTTGTGTGTATGTGCGTGTTTCTTCAATCTCTTCTTGCTGAAGATTTCAAGGGCTGGAGCAGTAATTGTGTAGGAGTAATCCTAAAGAAACAAAAAAACCCCAACTATAAATTGTCTTTCTACTTGTGGTTAAAATTTGATACTTCAGGCACTAGAGACACCTCCCAGCCCACAGCGTACAATTCTCAGTCGACGGGGTTTGCACTGCTGCCACACTTGTGTTACGCTGGTGTCCAGTTACTCCTCTCCTGGGTTTTGATCTTTTTATCCTCCCAAAGCCACCTCTGTGAACCCCTCCAAGGGATCTTTCATATGCTATGAGCTTTGCTTCCTCATCAAACCAATAATTCTGTGTCTTGTCCTTTACCAGGTAGCTAAATCTATTTTTGAAGATTTAAGTGGTGTTTCACACTGGTCATCTACAGAGAGGACAAAGGACACTTTGTAGAAGAAAATCTGTAAGACAGTACAACAGATAATGTATATACAAAATACCATATTTTAGCCTTAGTAATTCTTCCCCTAAATTCAGCAAAGTAGTGCTTCATGGTATGAGATTCTACTTTAAAAAAAGTGCAGAGATGTGGATAATACACAGTGAAAACAGCACTGAAGAGCACAGTCAGCCTCCAGTCCAAAACTGTAGTTGTGAAAGTTTTGTCTGTGGGTATCAGAATTCACCTTCTGTGTTCATGAATGGAAATAAGTGTTTGTAAGACCAACATCTTAAGTGAGTGCTACAGGAGGTAACAGGAGAGTAGGAGAGTCAGATTTAAAAAAGGGAAAAGATGTTGCCCAGTTTCACAGTTTTAACAGCTATGTCAGACTTCTCAGATAAGAGATACTTGGGTCTTATTTTTGATAGGCTGATTGTACCTATAAAATATATAAGGGAGGTGAAATTAACTGCAAGCTTTAATTTAATGGGTTAGGGAATTGGGCAGTGAAATAATTCACTGAGAAAAGAAAACACAGCATTCTTCAGGAATTAACTTTGGGAATGTAATATGTTCCAGCCATTGGAAAGAACTTTCCACTGAATTTTAAAAATCCTCAAAGAATTGCACACTTTGAAAAAGAAACTATTTTAATTTTGTATGGCTTTGTTAATATATACCTTTATTATTATCACAGCAGGGCCAGTTCTGTCACCCTTTCTTCACAGTTTATTCCAACATCTTCAAAAGAGTGCAAAGATCTTTCTTGGAAGATGCATCATGAAATACAGAAAATGAGGGAAATGGCCCTTGTTTATCTTGACAGAAGTGGTGGCCTTCAGAAATTTGTGCACGATTGCAAAAAATATAATGGTATTAATCACTCAATAGATAGTCTGTTAAATTGATACATAATGTTACACAAATCTCTGCTATATTTATTTAAGATATGTTTTGCTCCCACAGACTCAAAACAAAGCTATGCTGTTTATCGCTTCATTATTTCAATAAATCCTTCTGATATTGCTGAATTAGATGCAACTCTTGGAAACTACATTCTTCATAATCCCATACAAGCTGCACAGATTTTTCAGTCAGTAAGTGTACTTTTGTCTGTTCTTCTCTATAAATGTGTATCTTCTATATTTTAACTAGATTTTCCTTTCTAAAATGAAGTTATTTTTCTATCACAGGTATGTTTTGTAGCTATTAAGACATTATCATTAATTGAACAACTGCAGACAGAGGCCCAGGTAAGCCTGCATTGTTTTTTTCCATTTAGATCTTAAATCTTTTAAGTATGGTGAAGTATTAACAAATATTTTTGTATTAACTTAACCAGTTTTTCCCTTTGGTTGTAGTATCACTTGAAATTTAAAATAGCTGGAA